TCCGCGCCGACCGCCTACTCGCCAACCACTGTACTAGATGAGAGAATTCCCCGCGCCCCGCACTCCGCGCCGACCGCCTACTCGCCAACCACTGTACTAGATAAGAGAGTGAAATTGGTATTTAAGTAGGAACATTTTTGGTAATAAACACGGATTGAATCCACTTTAATCAAGAGTTTTCATTTGCGATCCAGATCAAGAACCTGAACAATACAGTCCACCGAACAAGAGCTAGAACACCAACAGAGGCTTCAACGCGTCTTCCATAGTACAGACGGCAACACATCAAGCTACATTTTGGCGAATCTTGTTCCGTTGTACTGGAGGCAATATTCGAAAGATAGCGTAGAGCTTGATGTGCTTGAAAGCAGCAAAGATGTTGACTGAACATCGCAATGCTTTTTTAATTTCAAGTATGACTGTTTGTTGCCACAAAAAAACTTAAAAAGCAAGAAAAAATGCTTATATTTTCATTAAAATGCTTATTAGATGTCGAAGGAAGTTGGATTTGGTCTGAGCTCGGTAAAATTACATCCAACCCCAGTATGTGAAGTTCCCAGAAATATCGACAGTAATTGAGACAAATGGGTAGTGTTGTATCTATCAGGAAAAAATAAACAATGCAAAAGAAAAAACGGGATTGCACACTAATGGAATTGGTGGATTCAAACAGATGGGCTGTAAAATTTAATAAAACATAGATGTCGAATTCATAGGGTTTTGCGTTTGTTACATATAAATATATTTTTACAGTCAGTCATAATCATGGGACATGTAAAGGACCCGAAACGTTGTTCTAAAAAATGTCTCGATTCGTGGATAATTATTTGTTTATTACAAATATAGGTGTGGTCGACGATAAATATTTATATTATGTTTATTAGTTGTAATTCAATGTTATATAAATAGATAACACTACACTCATATTTATTTACGGCCACATTGACCTTGCTTCTAGAAACCTACAATTAATTAATAGTTATATTGTGTAATCTAATTCAAGAGCGAATTATCTCAAATGCCCTTCCGCTCTACGGGTCGTATTCCAGAACTCTACTCAATGCTCAAGCCAGGATTTGAGCAGATTTGAGTATGATTTCAAGCACTGGAAATACGACCCTAATGGCAAGGACTTGAGTATGATTTTCAGTGCTTACTGCAATACTCAAGTATTTAGTAGAGTTCTGGAATACGACCCTCAGTATGTTACGCGATAACTTTACGGCATTTGTGAACCGATTTGATGATTCTTTTTTGTTGGAAAGAAGGTACCTCAGTACTTGTCCCATTTAAATTTGAAGGAAATATTCCACCTCTAAAGGTGTTGCCACCTTGCCACTAGGGGATGAATCCGATTTCGCGCACTTTCCGGTAACCGATTTAAATAAAACTTTCCATGGCAAATAGATGTCATTCCACGAACTTTTGAAGTTGGTTTTTTTTATGAAAAATGTTTTGGAAAATTTCTACCAAAAAAATGTATCCAGCAATTAATTACCTAACACTAATGGAGTCGTTGTCGTTGAAAAAACCAAAATACAAAGACACGACGCAAGCACAAAGAAAATTTCGTGAGGTCCGCTGGTTCGTTCCGTAGCTTAGTTGGTATAGCGTCTGACACGGTAAGCTAGAAGACGTCGGTTCGAATCCGTTCCGAAAGTGTTCGATCTTTGTATTAATAATTATAACGAATGGAGTAATCATCGATGAGTGCATTGACACGAAATCGCATTAAGCAGGCCATAAAAAGCTTTATATCCATGTAATAAGAGCGAAACTCGCAAAAACGTAAAAATCGGTTCACAAATCCGGATCAGCCGGAGTTATCACATAGGTAACAAAAAAAATCCGTCAAATTAAGAGCCTCTTCCTTTTTGTTTGAAGTCGGTTAAAAATAGTTAGTAAATAGTCGTTTTTGGACCTAAAAAAACTTAGTTATTAAGAAAGATCGTAGCAGTAGAGATCCTTGTGAAAGAGTTAATTCAGGGAAATACTGCCACCTTACCTATTTCTGCTGCCAAGCAGTAATGTGACCTTTCCTGCATTTCGGTTTTTGAAGGGTAAGGGTGCAGATGAAATTACAGGTACATGGGACTTGTCAACTTATATCTCAGGATCATAGGCACAGTAGCAGTGTCGCTTTGTCCCCAGCGATTTAAAACTCTAAGCGGCCCTGCAATTATTATGGACAGGCGAGTCGCTTACCACCAAGCGCATGTCTTGTACGTCACTTGTTACCACTAAAAAAATCCTTCGATTTGACGAACTCGAACCAGCGTTGCCTAAACGTGGCTACCGCTCGTACCAACTGAGCTACATACTGAGTCAGACCCATTTAATGCTAAAAACGTAATGTGGCTCGAATGAATTGTCCGAGAGTATGTTTCTGTTTTAAAATATCTCACCTGTGAACGCAGTAGTTCATAACGACGAACCAACGCGCAGAAGAGGTGTACTCGGTGAAGGAGTACCAGGAGTAGAGCAGGACGGTGATATGATGATACCAATGAAGGAAGATCAGCGGCTTCTTACGAAGCACAATGAACACCGTGTCGCCGAGCTCGGGGAGTTTGGATAGTACGAACATCCATGTCCAGAACCCGGAGACTTTGTCTTGCTCGATGAAACTGAAATAGAGAAAAGGAAAATAAGTGAAACCGTACTCGTTATAAGGTGTTACGGCACATCATTGTTCGCTATAGACAATGCTCTGTTTGTGTAGACTTCAAAAGGAAAAGACGTGTGTAAGACCGTGATCTTATTCAATGAAACCTACACGTCGAAGAAAATCTGTGGCCTAAACTTTTAAAATAAAAGCGTATTTGACTTCCATCTCACCTGATCGAAAGTGACGATGAGATCAACGGTGGAGCATGCACACCTGTATAATGCCTATTCAGTCTTGATTAGAAAAGGTCCAAGTTATAGCGTTCAGGGAAGAAGTGTACAGGCACGGAATTCTACTTTAATGCCGTACGTCATATGTCGATATGGTGGAAGCCTAGCCTACGTCTACTCCCCCGATAATGGAAAGGGGATGGCGCAATGATTTCCGTTCGTTGGTAAAACCCTGTGCTACGGACGTATAAAGGTATAATGATGATCATGAAAATTCTTAACAGTACGTCGGGTTCAAAACTAATAATACCTTACAAAACAATTGTAAGAAAATAACTTCAAGAAAAATATCCACGACATGTATGCCAAGGCATTACAAAACAAATACAAAGTCAATTTCTGCAAACGCAAATAAACAAACGTTTATATTAACAATAACAAACTTTCTATCGTCATAAGATCACCTGATCGTCGTATATTACATATAATGCAGCTATGCGAGAAAAAACGTGATTCGAGACAAAATTTAAAAACGAACATGTATTGTACTGACATAGTATAATATTTTAAAAGCATATTAAAGGCGCGTAAGACGATTAGGGCTACGCAACGCGAGTGCTTCACACGGTTATATGAATGTGTGCGTCCATACATGGCACGCGACTATGCACGCACACATACAAGCCACGCTGCTACATTTGTATGAAGTTACCATACTTGTGTTATTATAATATGGTACTAATGTCCATGACTTTTCTAGAATTTTTATTTTTGCTTTGATTTATTACACTAAAACATATTTACAATCACAATTTACAGCTACAGTTATACTTAAATTCACACTCGCACATGCTCTTCCTTATCTAAACGGTTTTTTACACCGTTTAACGGTTTACACTTTATGACGATGCGACTCCTTTCATTGTCATCCCACCTTTTTATCACCCTTTTCTCTGGTTTCTGGCCACCTACTTTGAAACGTTCTTAAATTCCTTTTCTTCGTCACTCTTGCTTTTCTTATTTCCGCCGTCACTGTCTACTAAATTTCCGAAGCGAGCACACGTGCTCGTACCATATATAATACCTTATCACACATTATTTCAATGAACAACTTAGCTTACAAATAACTTCTATATCTAGTCCCTATCATTGATCCTGACAACCAGCGCCTTCGGGAACTTAGGCAAGTCAGCGCCTTTTCAATGCAAACATGTCTTTTTCTTCCCTATTTCATTCCTAATTCATTTATTTGTAAAAACACACTTTGTATACAAGTTACTAACATTATTTAGACACAAACATATTGAGGATATACATTTACTCAACTGCTCTTCAACAGAGTAAACTAAGCGTGATATGTTTTTATCACATGGGCGTGCTCAATCAGTAATTTAATCGCAGTTGTTTGTGTTAAAATTATATAGCGATGATAGATAATCTACATATAGTTGTGTCATATTACCGCATAGTGTTTATCTACCTATATACCTAATATTATTATTGTTTCGGCCAGGTTATGCTGTAGGGCTTTCACAAAGCGCGACTTGCAGCGAGAGCGACATAAAGCGCGGGATCTCTATATACGAGAATAGCAGTATCTCGCGTTTTATGTCGCTCTCGCGCAAGTTGTGCCAGCCCTAGCGGTAGGGACCAAGGATTGACCGCGGCCATTTTTTAAATACAAAAAAAACAGTGGTTCTTAAATCTAAAATTCATCACGTCTATCTCTGTTTTAAAGCATATAAAATCTAGAAACACCAAAAGGTCACCATTATCAGTATGACTTGTGCTGTTATCAATTAATAGTGTAATTAGTGAGAGAAATTTTATCAAACATTTATTGTGACCTCGTCAGAGCACCCTGTCAGTAACGCCGTCAACATGATCACAATGGTCATGTTCAATTAGTGATAAGGATCAGACCATATTTGTCGTTTAATCAATTTCCATTTTATGCGTGGTACATGTTTTAAATGACTGCTCAACAAAAATTTAATAACAAAATTATTTTTTTTTGATATTTTATTGGGTCTATGGTCAGTGGGCTTTACTTATGGTGCAGGGTATGCGACGCACACGGCTCTTAGAGCGGTTACACACGGCGTTCTTTACCAGCGATGCAAACGCGCAATTCACAAACGCGCGAATGTATAGCTACACTTTCGATTTATAGGCGATTGCATCGATGCAAACGCGCGACTACAGCGATTCAGTCGTTTATGATTAGTCATTTATGTGCGAAAAATCTGTACAGGGAGGTGATCTACGTAATCAAATCGTTACGATATCTTAGCGATTTAGTCGTTGAACTCACAGACCACATATTCTTTTGTTTCTTCCGTGGTTGAACTGCTTTTTCGTATTCACGTGTGACAGTGAACGTCAACGAGTCTAATTTTAAAGTCGTTCGATCAAAATGTCGTTAAAGCGCATTTTGGCATATGAACCGAACTTAAATCGACTCTAAACCACAAGTCATACGTATTCCGCTACAATTTTGACAGTTCTTTCAATAGACTTTAACGACTAAATGTCAAATTTCACAAACCAAGATGTCGTTCATTAGTCGTTACGTTTCGATTCTACTCATATCAACGTTCGTTCAAGTGATACGTGAATACTAATTTTGGATAGGACTTCGATCGAACGACCACGTAACTTCAACGATATTTTGATAGCTTGAACTTACGTGAATCGCACTACTGGTTAATGCACATATTTTGTTTTGTTAATTGTAAATTTATATGTGAAATAAATTATAAATAATTTAATTGATTAAAACGTGCATTGCATTAGTATCGCGTTTGCATCACGTGTGCATCGCGTTTGCGTCGCTTCTTATTATTTATTTATTCAAAATGCAAGTCATAACAATGCAAGTTTCATTAGACAACTTAACTTATTATTATGACACCCCGTATGGGTAAGGCTCACTTAGACACTGTTTTATTACGTTTAATTACTTTTAACGCTTATTGAGATTCTGATATATAAAATTAATGTTTAATGTTCTATGTGAAGGTAAATAAATAAATAACAATAATAATAAACAATAAAGTTTAGAAATGCTCCCATAAATACAAACCGCAATTACCAATTAGAATTTTAAAAAAAGAACATTTTAAATTCAAATAAATTTTTTAATCAGTTGATTTGAATAATCACGATTATTCACACAATCGGCCGTATAACAAGCTAAGTAGCGAGTGGTATATCTTGGGTTTAGGACGCTACTGGATTGTAGCAGTAGAGTTCCTGGTGAAAGAGTACGTCCAGGGAAGTACTGCCCACTTACCTACTTCTAACGCCAAGCAGTAACGCGACCATTACTGCGTTCCGATTTCGAAAGGCAGGGTGCTGGTGGCATTACAGGCAAATGGGACTTGTCAATTTATGTCCCAGGGTGTCGGGCGCCGTGACAGTGCCCCTCAGATCTTTCCCGCTTTCTACCAGTCACACGATTCATCCCGACACTCAGTATTATAAGAAAAAAATTAAAAAAAAAAGACTTTTCCAGAAGGATTTCCTGCGAGAATCCGCATGACTACGCCTTTAGGTTACGTCTAAAGTATTCTTAGCCTATAGTAAAATAACTGAAATACGTAATGTAATATTAAGTCATCATGCAAAACATTACATTCTTAACATAAGTGCACACCATTGACTTACAATTATATAGACGTCGGGTACGCGCTAAAAAGTGTCCGTACGTAAACTTATAGGGCGTTAAAATCGTATACAGAGCGTCATTCACGCTTTAGTCTTCGTTTGTTCGACTGACAGCGAAGCAAGCAAAATTAGACAGTACTGCGATGACATTACAATTTAAATTCAACGTTTTAGCTTTTTTATATCCCTTTACATGCCACTACGTTTAAATAGGTTGACTTGGGACATTCTTTTCGTGGTTTTTGTATTAGACCCGTCGTCCATTTATTTGTAAGTCAATGGTGCACACCCACTTATTTTATTTGTCAAAATTCACTATTAACTGCGACACAGCGACGTCTTGAAAAATATTACTTCTAACATTTACATGTTTGTTTTCCTGAGCACGATTGGTTCCAAGTAAACACACACACATCCTGTTACATAAACGTATGTTTTTTTTTATGATGCCAAGAGATAGGACGAACAAATCGTGTGACTGATCGTAAGCGACACGCCCGTCCATTCCAGTACAGTACTCAGAATTAGAGAGAAAATTTGAGTACAAGGTAAATCGCAAAATCTGAAGGATTGCGCCCGTCACCCTAAGACATAAGTTGACAAGTCCCATGTGCTTATGTCAAATGTTCGAATGTTTCCAAATGTTTTTTATGTAATCGATAAATTTTGAAAAAAATGTCATAAAATAGAAAATTAGCAATTCATGTAAAAAATAGGCTTATGTATGGAATGTAATTCCACCTTTGGCTAGACTGGGTGCAGCAGTTTTTTTTGCCAGTTTGTACAGCGCAAGACAACATATTTCGTTGAGTTCTATACGCGGTGAATTCGATAATGGAACTGAAAAAAAACATCGATTCGGAAGTAGTGTTTATTGTGCGATGGAGCTTTTTTGCTTTTTTGCATCGATAGGCAGAGAGGAATGCCTATCGGTGACGCCTCCAGTCCTATATGCTCTAAGGAAATAGGTAACCTAGGTGTCATCAATTTCGCTTCAAATTTTCTCCAATACTATGCCACTAGTCGTATTAGTGTTTGTTTTACATCAGTGTGTTTTTACGAGGCCAAGTACATGTTTGTATGAGATATGAGCATCCTACACACCTACTATGCAATATGC